TAGCTCAGTGGTGGAGCATGTGCATAGCTCATGGAAACTGTGTCAACGTAAGATTTGTTATTCATAAGGACATAAAATTCAAGCAGGCATAGTTAACTTTGATTAGTCAGTTAAGTTGTTCGTTTTGGTAAGGTATAAAGTCTCTACTTGCAACTGCATGGTATATTTTAATCCTGTGATCCAGGTCACATTGGAAAAGTTTTTTTTTTTTTTTTTTTTTTTTGAGACAGTCTCATAATGTAGCCTAGGCTGGCTTTGAATTTGAAATCCTTTTTGCTTCAACCTCCTGAGTGATAGGATTACAGGCATGTACCACCATGCCCGCTGAAATTTTTTAAACAAGTTTTCATAGTGCTTTTATGTTACTGAATTTAAGTTGCTGTTTTTTAGAGAGTGATACCTGTAGGTACAAGCATCTGTTTAGGTAAGGAGGTATTTTATTGCAAATGTGTGCCATTAATAAGAAAACTTCACTTTGAAAGTGCATGCTGATCTGCAGTAGAAAATATCCTAAGCTCACACAACTACCCATAGGACTGGAGCAGTTATCAGAGAGTGACTTTTTGGTCTTTTGTAGTTGCCTAAGCAGAAGTGTTTATTGGCAAATTTGATATGACAAGGTCAAATACCTGAAAATAAGAGTTGAACCTAGTGATTTCTCATGTAACAAGCAACGTTTTGAGCATGCATCCCTCCCCTGTGAACATGCCTTGGATGCATGGTAGCTTGGTTATTTGTTGCCATTCTATCTCTTGGCCACCCTAAGGTTGCAGTTGCTCAAGCCAGTGGACTGCTTGGGATCAATAGTTGTAAGAGACAGGTCTGTAAAACAGGTCTGTAAAACTGACAGATTCTTCTTCCCTCTCTTTTCCTAATTAAGTATGATTTAGGCCAATCCCCTTTTCTTTATTCTCCCAGCTATATTACTTTAGTCTTAGAAAATTTCTCTCCATACATCTTAGTTCCTTCATCTTTCTCCTTTTTCGGATCCTGCTCAGTTGTGTAAGGAGAACTGTTGCTCTTACTTCTGCTTCCTTTATTCCTCTTTTTTCTTTGTTCCAACAACAAACCAAAAAATGACAGTAATGGTTATTGGTAGTAGCAGTACTTCATTTATCAAGCAGTTTGTAAGTTTTGATAGATGACATCACTGATTGGAATGCTCATTATTATTATATGGACCACAAAGAGAAGATATGCATATCTAAGATCAGTGCCATCAGTCTCTAAAGCCCTAGAAAGTACTCAACAGACTTGATGATAAAATGGCTATCATCAAAAAGACAAGAAATAACAAATGCTGGCAAGGATGAAGAGAAATGAGAACTCTTATACACTGTTGATGGAAATGTAAGTTAATATAGCCATTATGGGAAACAGTTTGGAGATGCTTCAGTAAACTAAAAGAACTAGCATATGATCTGCTATAGATCTAAAGCATATGAAATCTTTATATCAAAAGGATACTTGAACTTCATGTTTATTACGGTACTATTTATAATGGCCAAAATACAGAACCAATCCAGATGCGTCAGTGGGCGAATAGGAAAAGAAAATGTATGTTTACACAATGGAATACTACTCAGCTGTAAAAAGAATGAACTCCTGTCATTTGCAGCAACATGAATGAAATGGAGAATATTATAGTGAGTGAAATAAGCCAGAACAGACAAAATACCACGTGTTTCACCCAGGGAAATCAATAAGTCAGCCTTGTCGAAGTGAGGAATAGAATAGTGGACACTAGAGACAAGGGAGGGTAAGAGGGAGGGACAGAAAGAAATTGAGAGGGATCTTATGGATGTGAAAGGGTTCTGGAAGAGAGGAAGGGTGGATAGATGTGATCAGTGTGAGATGTGTACATGTATGGAAATATGGTGAACCCCACTAATTTGTACAACTATGTGTTAAAAATATAAAATTTGAGGAGCAGAAAAAGATGGTTCAGGAGTGAAATTTTTCTGGATGCACTGAAGCATCTGGTTGTTGACAGCTCTAAACGTCCTTTCTCAGGCTGTCCAGTGCTCCAGCCTGCATCAGAGTCTGGCAGCCTTCCAGTGAGCTAGACTGGATTCTTCTTTAGCAGTCTAGCTGGTGCTATCATAGTGGTGGAGTAGAGTAGTTAACTTGCTAGACAAATGCACTACCACTTAAGTCACACCTCCAGTCCATTTTTGCTTATTTTACTTCGTCTGTTTTTCAGACAGATCTCACCAACTTTGCTCAGGCTGATCTATAACACAATCCTCCTATCTTCTCTCCCCATAGCAATAGCAAGGTTACAGACCTTGCTGTTGGTTTGGAAAAGAGTTATATTCTGTATATTGTTTTCTATTTGTGATACTGGGGACTGAACCATGGTTTTTCTACCACTAAGTATGACCCCTAGCCCCTATTGTCTTACTGATCATTTAAAATACTTCTTTCAGGCTTACTGGTAGTTATCTGTGTGTGTGTGTGTGTGTGTGTGTTGGTGGTGTGTGATCTTCTCAGTCAAAGTGACCTATGGAGGAAGTGTACAACAAATAAAAGTTTGATTTACAGTCTTGTCACAAGTACTTTATAAAGTTACAGCAGTTAAACAAAACTTCGGAGCTCATGCTTCTGAATTAAATGGGTGGACTGCCTGCCTGTAGCTCCTCCTCACCCTCTAGTGGTTACATCAGGGAGAGCCTTTGGAAGTGGAGCCCTGCTCACTGTAGTGCTGCTGCCACTCTCACCTTAGAAATATTCTTACCCATGTGGTGGGCATCTTACTTGCTGTGCTTTGAAATTGCTAATACTATTTGTTAGCATCTCGGGAGTTTGACTAATTCAGTTTTCTATTTTTACATGAAAACTAAAAAAATGCTTCTCAACATGTAACGGTTTTTAAGAATTCAAATAAATAACAGGATTCTGTCAATCCTTTGGCTCATACTGCTCGTGACAGTTTTCAACAACTCTTTTTTGGATTTTAGATTTTTTCCCCCCTTGGTAGTACTGGATTTGAACTCAGAGCCTCACTAGACAGGCACTTCTACCACACTTCCAACCCTCTTTGGCTTTTAGTTATTACTTCAGGGAGGGTCTCGTTTTTGCCAGGCTAGCCTCGAACTCCAATCCTATTTAGGTCTTCCAGTAGCCTGGGACAACTGGCTTGTTTGGTTGAGGTGGATTCTCACGAAATTTTTGCCAGGCTGGCCTTAAAACCGTGATCCTCCTGATCTCTGCATCTGATTAGGTAGGAGTACAGGTGTGAGCCCACCTTACCAGCTGAATTTTTAAGTACGTATTTCCTTTTAAGGGCATAGTCATGGCGATTTAGCATACTCTTCTGTCAGGTGTTGATAGCATAGCATTTTGCATGTTTCAATGGACTGTGCTCTTTATAGAAATAAAAGATTCTCTGTTCAGATGTGAATGAAGACTATTCCTTCTGTAGCTCAGTCCCACAGAATTAAATACCCCCTCAAGTATCAGGCAGAATTGTAGTGATACAGGTGTTGGCGAGGATGCGGGGAAAAAGGAACCTCTTACACTGTTGGTGGGAATAGGTAGACTAGTTAGCAACCATCTGGAAAAAAATTTGGAGGCTACTTAAAAAGCTGTGACATTCTCTACCATTTGATCCAGCAATACCATCTTGGGATATACCAAAAGACTGTTATCCACAGAGGCAAACTGCACATCATGTTTATTGGCGCTCCTGCCGCACCCTTACTTGCACTATTTCAAATAGCCAAGTTATGGAAAACGCCAAGATGCCCCACCACTGACGAATGGATTAAGAAAATGTGGTATCTATACACAATGGATTTTATGCAGCCATGAAGAAGAACGAAATGTTATCATTCTGGTAAAATGGATGGAATTGGAGAACATCATTCTGAGTGAGGTTAGCCTGGCCCAAAAGACCACAAATCGTATGTTCTCCCTCATATCATTAGAATCAAGGGCAAACACAACAAGGGGATTGGACTTTGAGCACATGATAAAAGCGAGAGCACACAAGGGAGGGGTGAGGATAGGTAAGACACTAAAAAAATTAGCTAGCATTTGTTGCCCTTAAGCAGAGAAACTAAAGCAGATACCTTAAAAGCAACTGAGGCCAATAGGAAAAGGGGACCAGGAACTAGAGAAAAGGTTAGACAAAAAGAATTAACCTAGAAGGTAACACCCACGCACAGGAAATCAATGTGAGTCAATGCCCTGTATAGCTATCCTTATCTCAACCAGCAAAAACCCTTGTTCCTTCCTATTATTGCTTATACTCTCTCTACAAAAAATTAGAGAATAAGGGCAAAAATAGTTTCTGCTGGGTATTGAGGGGGGGAGCGGGAGGGGGTGGAGTGGGTGGTAAGGGAGGGGGTGGGGGCAGGGGGAGAAATAACCAAGCCTTGTATGCACATATGAATAATAAAAGAAAAATGAAAAAAAAAATAATATAATAATTTAAAAGAAAGATTTACTTTTTTAAATGGAGAGGCAAGTTGGGTGCCAGGGTTCAACACGCTAGCTACTTGTGAAGTGGAGATCAGGAGGATCGTGGGTTTGAAGCCACCCTAGACAATTCCAAGACCTATCGGAAAAATACCAACATAAACATGGCTGGCGGAGTGGCTCAAGTGGTAAGCATCTGCCTAACAAGCCTGAAGGTATTGAGGTTTAAATTCCCAGTGCCACCAAAAAAAAAAAGAAAAGTGGGAGCCAGACACCATAGTGTAGTGTACACCATAATCCCAACTACACATGAGGAGTAAAGTAGGAGGGCCAAAGCCAGCCTAAGAAACGCGATGCTATTGAAAACAACAAACTAAAGCAAAAAAGTGGCTATTGATGTGGTTAAAGTGGTAGAGCACCTGCCTAGCAAGCAAACAAGGCCCTGAGTTCAAAACCCCAGTACCACTAAATAAAAGTGTCTGGGAGGACAATCTACCTTCATATTTTTGTACAATCCTAAACATAATTATGTCAGTTTTGATTCATTAACTAGAATTTCCCATTAATATTTGTTTGCAGTATATTTGCTTATTTGAATTACCATGTTCCTCGCACAAGACGAGAAATCTTGGAGACCCTAATCAAGGCCTTCAGAGACTGAGTACAGAGGCATGATTCTGCTGGTATTTTCTTTTAATATACTATGGGACTTTGCATGATCTTGAACCCAAATAATATTTTTATTGTTTTTAGGAAGCTAGATTTAATGTCTGTTTTGTTGTTTTGTGAATCCAAATGTGAACAATTTTTGCCTTTCTCATTTTCTTATGTTTAAAGGGTTTATGTCACTTCAACACTATTACCATTCATGTAGGGGCAGTGCTTCTTCTTTGTGTTAAGTGTGTTACTATAAAAAAACAAATCAGATGGGCATTTTCATGGAAATAAATTCTTGAGAGCCTTACTCTGAATTTTTTCTTTCATTTTTTTTTCCTCCTGAGATTCTTCTATTTTACATAAATGAACATCAAGTTAAAATAACTTCCTCTCATAGAGACTGTTTGACTCTAGCTCCCCCTGCATTGGGAGCCCTTAAGACCCTCAGATCCCATGATTCCCTAGGGTCACTCATAAGACTGGACTGGTAGTTGCACTCATGGCTGTGATTTATTACTGCAAAGAATAAGCAAAATCAGCAAAGAGTGAAGTCAGGAGGACTTACTCCTCGTGTTGCTTCTCAACAGACCTGCTTTGAAGACAGGAACTGAATCCTTTTCTGCCTTTGTTTTTTTTTTTTGTGATGCTGAAGTTGAACCAGGGCTTCAGGCATGCTAGGCAAGCTCTCTAGCACTGAGTTCTAATTCAGGATTATTTTTGTTTTTGTCTCAAGCAGCTCTCATGATTCTTGACACATAATAGGTTTTAAGTAAATGTTAAATAGATAAGTAAATGAATTAATAAAATGAACATACAATCTTTAAATAAAATTTTTGCCTCCTACTGATACTCTTAGTAATACTAAGAGTAAATACATACTCTGCTTTTCTGCATCTCGATGATTTAGTGTGGGAATTGACGGAGGCAAGACAAAGATTGGGAGCCAATGCCTGCAAAATCCAGCTCATTAAGAAGAAAGGAAAGGTGAGGCACTGGATGACGAAGTTCACAGTAATGTACTTAGTTTGGGTTTTGTCCCCCTTCCCATTCTCCCCTCCTCAGCAGATACCCCATATTTTGGCACCCATTTGAGAATAATGATTCTTAACATTGAAGGGAGGAAGAAAAGTAGTTTTGTTACTGCTTGACTGACTTTAAATTGTGCTTGAGCTTTACAAATGATCATAGCAACCAGGGAAGGAAATTAGTAAAGTACATTGGCTTCAGTGCAAGCCCAGTATCTTCGAATGAAGTAACTTCAGAACAATCATGTCTGAGGAGGGGCCCTTCATAGGACCAAGATATTTTTAGTGATGGTCTGGTCTTTCATTTTGTGGTGGTTTTCACTTCAATGATGGCACCAGATGCATGCATTCTGATGCTGGCAATTCAGATATGCTAATGAGAAGCCATAAAGTGCTTCTTTTTCGTAAGAAGGTGGGAGGTCTCTACTTAATAAGGAAGGAAGAAAAATCCTATGTTGAGGTTGCCATGATGTATAATAAGGATGAATCTTCTATTCATAGAATTGTGAAGAAGAAAAAGGAAATTCTTGCTAGTTTTGCTATTGCATCTCAAACTAAAAAGTTAAGCGTGATAAGTGCTTAATTAAGATGGAAAAGGTATAGGACTTGTGTTTTGTATTACAGTTTCAGGCAGATTGTGTTTTGAAATATATCCGTTATAGATAACGGGGGAGCTACTGTAATTATATTTAATATTGCTCTCTCATCTCCACAGGATTATTAAACACTGAAATTTTTATCTTTTCAGAACAACAGGATATGGATTTGGATATAGAATTTGATGTACATCTTGGAATAGCTCATACCCGTTGGGCAACACATGGAGAACCCAATCCTGTTAATAGCCATCCCCAGCGCTCTGATAAAAATAATGGTATGAACAGATTCTTTGTGGTTTGGAATGATGGTGGAGGGCCAACAGTGGGAGAAGAATGAAGGCTTTTATGTTTTTGTTATTTTAATTTGGAAAATTTTAAACATATTCAGTACACAGAACCTGATCTATCCATCATCCAGATTTAACAGTTATGAAGTACATGAATTAGATTGTCTATACCTAGATTATTTTGGAAGCCAATAAATATAGTATGTGGGACTGATAACTCTTCAGTGTCTTAACTCCGGGTTCCCTTCTCTCTTTTCCGTGTAGTTTATTGTGTTTCCTACAGTCTAGATCTTGCTAATTGAATACATCCCTGATATGTCATTTAACATGTTTTTTTTGTCGCTTATATTTCCTATAAATTGGTATAGTGTTTGTTTACCTCTAGAAATTTGTAATGTTTGGATATTTTTCTTTTGTGTTTTAGCAGCCATTGGTGATTATTACTGACGCTAATTATTTTTCCTTTTTTGGTACTGGGGCTTGAACTAAGGGCCTTGTGCTCATTGCATGGCCATTTAACCAGTTTTGTTTGTTTTTGTGGTGCTTGGACTTGAACCCAAGGCCTCATGGATGCTAGGCAAATGTTCTATTTCTGAGCTATACCCCTAGTCTCTTAACCATTGTTTTTTTTTGAGACAGGGTCTTGCTTTGTAGCCCAGGTTGGCATCAAACTCACTATGTACCCCAGACTGACCTTGAACTCATGATCCTGCTGTCTTAGCCTCTCTAGTGCTCGGATTGTAGGTGTGAGTGTGTCACCACATCTTATTTAACCAGTGTTCTGAGTCTGTATTTCCACTTTTAAATATAAGCAGATGTACACATTTGAATGTGTGCATGTGTATCCCTTTTGATTTTATAATTTAAATCAAAAGCTGCCCATTGGCCAGGCACACACTTGGGTAGCTGAAACAGGAGGATCCTGAGTTTGACATCAGCCTGGACTACATAGTAAATTCCAGGTCAGGGCTGTGTAGTGAGACCCCTGTCTCAAAAAAAAAAACAAAAAAGCCAAAAAAGATTTAGTAATAATTTTTCTTCTGATGTTTAACCTTAACTCCACATTGATAATTTTTTCATGTACCTTTTCAGTGGCTACAAATAATAATATTATCAACTTTTGATAACTTTTTCAAAGTTACCATTTAATAAAAAATAGATGAAAAGAATCCCAAGGTCATACTTATTTGGTCTTGGGATGATATTTTAACTTTACAGGAATTATCTGGACCTCAGACAAATAAATTTAACTATGGAACTGAATAATTACGTGGTTATTTTTAGTAAACTCTTAAACTCATTGACTGTAGATCAGGTGACTGATTTAGTTTGAAAGGCCTTCTCTTTAAATTCATATGCAAGAATGAATGAACAGAGAAGTAAGCATGGTAGTTACTTAGGTCAGCCTTCTCATTTTGGAAATGAAGAAACGGGCCCAGTATACTTGCTCCAGTAGTTTAGCCACAGCTGAAATTGATATCTCTAGATTCCAATTTATTCTTTCTCCACCATACTACCCTGTGTGCTTCCACTAAGGAGCATATCTAGTGCTGCTGACCTACCTGATGATAAACTTATGATAAGTAGGTGGTCCTTGATTACACCTAGAAGTATAGTATGATATAAAAGTTTTGACTAGAGAAAAATCTATTGATAATTATAGCTATTTAGAGCATTTATCAGACTTCTAATTTTTTGTCATCAAACTTCTAGAGTTTATTGTTATTCATAATGGAATCATCACCAACTACAAAGACTTGAAAAAGTTTTTGGTAAGTAGAGTAACCTCAAAAGATGCCAGTCTTTGGGAGTACTTTTTTTTTTTTTTTCTTTTCTGTACTGGGGCTTGAACTTAGGGCCTTCACCTTGAGCCACTCCACCAGCCCAACTTTTTGTGATAGGGTTTTTCAAGATAGGGTCCGGTGAACTATTTGCCCGGGCTGGCTTCAAACTGTGCTCCTCTTGATCTCCGCCTCCTGAGTAGCTAGGATTACAGGTGTAAGCCACTGGCCACCTGACTGGGAGTACTTTTTTTGTGTGTGTATGTGGTGCTGGAGATTGAGCCCAGGGCCTTGTGCATGCTAGGCAAGCGCTGTGCCACTGAACTAAATCCCTAGCCCTAGAATACTTCTAATGAGAACCATGAGGTAGCTGGAATGTGTAACACTATCTAGGTATGATTGAGTAATTCCTAAGACAGGAATTACTCCTGTCTAACACAGTAGCCACCATCCACAAATGACTGTTGAACTGCTTATGATAGACACTGAATTTTAAATTTAAGTAAATTTTACTATATTTAGCCATTGTGCAGTATCATCAGCAATGAAAGAATTATTATATTCACTATAAAATTGGTATTTTAAGTGTTATATGCTTTATTTTAATTATTTAAAATTTATTAAATTCATATGTGGCATATATTTAAGTGTCTGCTCAGTTATATAGATTCCATGTTATTTTGGGTTTAGTAAAAACCAGATGGTAACTTTAATTTTGAACAATGAGTAAGTGCAATATGGTGTTCAAAACTACTAGAAATTAGTTAAGATTTTTGAGGGATAAATTCTGTAGAAAAAATATGGATATCATGAATATTTTCTTAAATGTCTTTTTTTTTTTTTTTTTTTATACAGGAAAGCAAAGGCTATGACTTTGAATCTGAAACAGATACAGAAACAATTGCCAAGCTTGTTAAATACATGTATGACAACTGGGAAAGTCAAGACATCAGTTTCACTACGTTGGTGGAGAGAGTTATCCAACAGCTGGTATTAAACCACACTCGTAAAGATAATTATGCCAAAAATAATCAAGAGGAATGTTCTTAAAACTAATTCTAAAAAGCAGGAACTGTACTAATTTCTTGAGTATTTTTTTGCTTTTATTTCCTATACATAGAATAATTCACTTGAATAATTTTGAGAGACTATTGTTTGACCTGTCCTCCCCTGCACTTAAAATTCTACTAATTCACTATAGTTTGGTGTCATGAGATTGAAAAGTAAGTTTGTCCATAAACTATAAACTTACATATGAATTCATCTCACCACACACAAATGTGTAGTCAGCACATACAATGAAGGATTCATCACTCTCTTGCTTTCAATGAATAACTTGGCACAAGGGCACCTTCAGTGAAATTAGTCTTTATTCTGAGATAATGCTGCATATCTTTGAGCCAGCATAATCAGCTATTTTACCTTTTGGGGATTTTTTCTCTGTTCCTGTACCTCCAGAGTGTTTTCCAGCCTAAGAGAAAAGCAGTATTCCTTTAATCCCATCTCATTTGGCTTAGTTAAAGATTAAAGTCATGAAAGATCCATAAAAGTTCAATTCCATAGTGATGCCTACACCTGCCTCCTCAATTTATAACTAACTTTCCCATTTAAAAGCCCTTTACTTCCCTACTAAGATGAAACCCCTCCACCTCCACCCAAACCTTATCATGTCTGCAGCAGGAGGAGTTAGGAAGGCAGAGAATATAGAGGTCTGTTGCTTCCATTACCTGAGACAGAGTAGGGTGCCTTCCCAGCCTGCTTTTGTTTCTGATAGGCTTTCCCTTCCAATTGCTGTATAGTCCAGTTCATGTCTTATAGAGATTCTGTACTCTCCTTCTTCCCGTTCTTCCTTTATCTATTCTTCTTAGACCCTGTCCTTGAGGAGACTGGGTTGATGGGGGATAGTGTGGTGTGCATGTTTATAACTGTGATTGTGTATGTATCATATACATGATACACAGTATTTTATATAGCATATTAGGTAACAACACATAATAACATTTATATAATATATAATACATAAGTGTGGTATATGTTTTTTTGTGATACCACTCGAACCACACCTGCAGCCCTGTATGTATTGTATATATTCATGTCTCTAATATCCATGTTAGAAAGAATGGAAGTTAACAGTGATGTGCAATTACTAGGGCAGAGAATGGGTTTTGCATGTTGACCTAAGGATCTTTTTAAATTCTATCCTCCCCCTACTAGTTCCTCATGTAAGAGATATGACATATTATTGAGAAATGTTGGTAGCATGTACAAAGGTGACTTTTCAACTGGTGTGTTTTTGAAGATGTTATCTATTAAGCATATGCTGAAATTAGGCTTAATTACAAGAGTTGGTGTTGTGTATACCAAATCTTAAGTGTCTGTCAGAAATTCATTCTTGCTTATAAACTATTGCAAAAGAATACTTTTTTTTTTTCAATTCAACTGCTTCATTTTATTTATTTATTTATTTATTTAAAAAAATTTTTTTATTCATATGTGCATACAATGTTTGGGTCATTTCTCTACCCTCCCCCCAACCACCCATTACTACCCACCCTGCCCCCTCCCTCTCCCCCCACCCCTCGATACCCGGCAGAAACTATTTGCCTTTATCTCTAATTTTGTTGAAGAGAGCGTATAAGCAATAATAGGAAGGAACAAGGGTTTTGCAAAGAGTACTTGTATGAACAAGAAATTTTTGTGCTGAAGCCAGTATGTTTTCAGCATTTCATATTTGATAATTGATTGCAATAAATATTGCTAATGTATTTGTTTTTCTTCCATAGGAAGGTGCTTTTGCACTTGTATTTAAAAGTGTTCATTTTCCTGGGCAAGCAGTTGGCACAAGGTACATATAAATCTAATAAGAGCCAACATTTGACTTACAAATCAAATCTTTTGCTTTAAAGGCTCTACCTTTTCTTAGAGATACTTTTGTGAGCATATTTATTCTCATATACTCCTCCTTATCTATTGTTGTGTCATTCTTTCATTTAACAAAATCCTTTAATGAAGCAAATACATTTTTTGTGTTTATGACTGGCCTTTGATGGGACACTATGGTTACTTTGTGAATTTGGATAGTGAATATTTATTTAATTTATGGCTCAAAGCATTAAGTTTCTCCATAATTTTTAGAAATATTCCAGACAGATTTCCTAGATAATTGTATGATCACTGCTTTTGCTAAGGTATTTAGAACTGATCATGAAGTAAGGTTAAGATTTTGTGTGAGAGAGAAGTACTTTTAACCTGAAGACAAGGTGATTAAGGAGAAAGTACCAGTCATTCATATATTGGCAGTCTGTATACAATTGAAAAATAGTTCATTTTACATTAAAAAGGAGAACAGTGTAAAATGCAGTGTCATAGAATAGGGGATACAAATTTTTTCTGGAATGGGCCAGATAGTGGCCCATGTAACTGGGCCATGTAGCTGTTTTGTAGCTGCTCAATTTACTGTTCTCATGAGAGAGCAGCCATGGGTCATACATGAAGGAATGAGCCTGGGTGTGTTTCAGTAAGACTTTATTTAAAACAATTTTATCCATTGAAAAATGACAATTAAAAACTAATAGATAATTGTGGCCTGTGAGTCTTTGTTTGCTGACCCAGTTTTTTTGTTATATCTAAAGTTGTGTTTAGGGGAAAATTCAAACATTATTTGAAAATATTAAATTTCAAATTTAAATGAATTTTAAGTTTATTAAATTAAAATTTTATGTTTTGTACATTATTTAAAAAGAGATTCTAATTGTGATTCATCTTTCATTTATAGGCGAGGTAGTCCTCTATTGATTGGTGTACGGAGTGAACATAAGCTTTCTACGGATCATATTCCAATACTGTATAGAACAGGTAGAACTCATTCCTGCCTTGGGGAAAGTGTATAAATGGAGTGTAGTAGATATAAGAATTCTTTCCCTCAAATTAAAATAAATGCTCTTTCATCAGATCACACAATGTATCCATATATGTGTATTGATATAAACCTACATATGTATATATATACACACATACACATATACCCTTCTGTCTAAACATGGAAAAGGTTTGTTTTTGTGAGTTTTCTGACGAGTAGAACTTTTTTCTGTTGTATATCCTTAGCTAGGACTCAGCTTGGATCACAGTTCACACGGTGGGGATCACAGGGAGAAAGAGGTGGGAAATGCACACCCTTTTTTGTTGATTCTCTACTAATTTGTTCTTGGAGTGAATGAATGTGCTGGGCCTTTAAAAATGTGCTTATTTTCTGGGAAACATTTTGACATTTATTTTTATAATTTGAGGAATATATTTTGTCTGTCTGCTTTTGACATTTAGAAAATTGCTTTTAATAATTCATTTTATTAAAATCTGAAGTTTGAACAAATAGTTAAATTGTAAGTTTCCATTTTTAAAATTATGCAAGATATATACTTAGATTAGCAAAGGAGCATTGTGTGCAAGGTTATTATAGTTTGAACTAAGTGGTAGCTACTTGAATAATTTAGCCTAGCTTTTAACTGAAATGCGCTTAAATGGTCTTTATTTTATGCATGGCATTTTACTTTTAGATTTACATTTTAAAATTTGATTGGCTTTAATTTTGAAGAATTTGGAGTTCTTTTATTGTTTATGTTTGAAATTTATTTATTTGTGGTGCTGGGGATCAAACCCAGAGTCTTGCACATACTAGGCAAGTGCGCTCTACTTCTGACCTATAGCCCCAGATCTGAAGTTAATTTTTTTTTTCTTTTGTTCATATGTGCATACAATGTTTGGGTCATTTCTCCCTCCTTCCCCCCGCCCCCTCCTTTACCTACCCAGCCCCTGAAGTTAATTTTTAAAATACATCTTTTAGCTATACAAATTCTGTACCAATTTGTATAATTACACAGAAAAGTAAAACAATGACAATGTACTCTTTATATTAATTTTTATTGCTAAAAATTTCCCATGTACAATGGGGTGGTAGGTTTAGGAAATTGAAACCTATATTATTAATATGTAATCCTTGGTTTCTTGAAAAACAGTTATCAAAATACTCTGAACCTATTTTTGGTGACTGCTTTCACTGTTTTATCTAGAGCAGAAAGTTGTCTCCTTAAACAACCTTTGATCCTGAGATATTAGAATTTCTTATTTTCTCTTCCTACAACCTCCCTTTCTTACTCCCCATCCTTTCCAGAAGAAAAACTAGTCTGCTAGTGAGAGTACAATATTTGGATCCAGAGTTCCAGATTTCTGTTTATAATTCTTGTATATATGTTATATAAGTGTTACCTTGTAGTTTGTCTGGGGCTGCTTTTAGAAATAATAGGAAAGCATTGAAAAAGGTCTTAAGAAGTTGGAAGAAAGTTTTATCATGAGAGATTGTATTTGAGTAGCCTTTCTTTCTCTGTCTTCTGGTAGGTAGGTAATATATGGCTCAGTGACATTTAGTGAAAAGAATAGCTTCCTTTGTAAGGGGCTCTGTAGAGGGAGAACTCTGCACTGGTTTTTAGGCTTTTGCCATTTTCTCCAGGTAGACTAATGACCAAATAGAGCCACCTTTTTTCTCTGCAGGATAGGGACAGTGACTCTTAGTCAGATGAGATAATCAATATATGGAAAAGCATTTTGGAGACTGAAAGAGCTGTACAGATGTTATTTAAATAGAGAGTGATAACGCATTCTATTTAAATATTTAAGTATATTTAACTAAATATACTTCTGTTGTTTGAAGAATGAAATCATCAAGTGTTTGGAGTGAAACTCAATCCTGTTAGGATATTTTCTAAACCAGGCTAGCTGTATTTACTTTTTCAAATATAAGTGCTGGACTTTTCTTCTACTTGTTTTTTACTTTGCTTTTTTCTTTGGTGCTGGGATTAAACCCAGTACCTCGAACGTGCTATTAGCACATGCCATCCCAGTGAGCCACACCCCAACCCCTTTTGCTTTTTTTAGATAAAAGGAACTTCACTTTTTGAATGAGTTTTGTCAAAGGCAAACAGTTGTTTAACTGTAACCACTATGAAGATGCAGAACAGTACCTTTCCAAAAAAGTTCCCTGAGTTATACCTTTGTGGTCAATCCCTTGTCCCCTTCCCAGACTCTGGCAAACCCTTTCTAGTTATCTTTTTAGGATATCATCGTACACTTATTTTTGGAGTTTGGATGGGAAGGACTATTTTGTTTTCACACCTAAAACATACCAAATAGTTAAAGATGGCAGAGAATTTTGGATGTTCATTTCTAAGGAGTGGTTTATTACCAAATCATTATACATGCCTTTTACAGGATAGATAGGAGTTTTTACAAGTCTGTTTGTGGCATTCTCTGGCTATTGTATCTATAGGTTCTAAGTTCTATGTCTGGCCTTGGAGCAAAGAGCTGTCTTTAGTACATTTATATAGTTTTTAATAGGTTTTTTCCTACCACAGGCTAACTCATAAAACTTTAGCATAGTTCCTCATTTCCACTTCAGTTGTTAATGAGCAAAAAAGAAAAAAATTATTCATGTTGACTTGACAAGTTACGTAGAGATGCCATTCTGACGTGCTAGAGTTAAAAAGATACTGTCATTACAAAAGGGTCATACTTTATCCTGACTTAAAACAAGTACAAGAAAACACAACTTTAAGATAGGAGAGATCTTGGCCTATAATATATCTTTTGTCTAGCAGTAGGTGCCACATAGGATGTACCATGGTTAGAGAGTGATGCATACCTTTGGTTTATTTTTAAGTCATTATTAGTGTAGACGCTACATGGTTTGTTGTGCTGACTTGCTGTTAAAATCTGGAGAAGTTTTGTTATAAAAAAAGTCATTTGCTACTGATCTTCATTTTGATAATTTTCAATGTAATTTTAGTGGTAAGTATAAGTACACAAGCTTATATGTATTAATTACAATAAGTTTGCTATGGCATTAAATTAAAATTAGTCTACATATAGTTTTGATTTTAGATAGATTTTTTTGGTTTTGGTACTGGGGTTTGAACTCAGAGCCTCACACTTGCTAGACGGCACTCTACCACTTGAGCCACTCTGCTAGCTACTTTTGTTTTTTAAAAGTTAATTATATTTTTGAATTCTTGGGCTTTTACCTGTTAGCACCATTATCTTCCATGCATTCTTTCATAGCTGCTATTTCACTATTTGTCATTCTTATTGGCTTATTGCATGGAAATAAAGTGTCCCTACTTGGCATTTAAAATTTGCTAAACTTATTTTGTGTCGCTATTGGAGTTTTTTGTTGATTTTATTAAAAATTATGTATATTTCTATATTGGCCATGATTTTCTATGTTTGTCAATTCATGTTAACTCTATATGCTCTAGGCAAAGACAAGAAAGGAAGCTGCAATCTCCCTCGTGTGGACAGCACAACTTGCCTTTTCCCTGTTGAAGAAAAAGCAGTGGAGTATTATTTTGCTTCTGATGCAAGGTGAGCTTCCTTAATTGATTCAAAGAGAATGTTTAATAGAACTTCTCATGCTACAGGAAACTAGGAAGTCATTCTGTATAAACATAGTCATGCCATATAAGAGAGCTTTCTCTTTTCTTGCAGTGCAACCCATGGCCCAAGCATGCTAGGAAAGTGCTCTATTACTGAGCTATATCCCAGCCCCTAGAACTTTTTTTTTTTTTTGTAGTACTAGGGCTTGAACTCAGGGTCTACATCTTGAGCAGCCACTCCACCAGTCCTTTCTCTGTGATGGGTGTTTTCAAGATGGGGTGTTGTGAACTATTTGCCCAAGTTGGCTTCGAACCATGATCTTCCTCATCTCTGCCTCCTGAGTTGCTAGGATTATAGGCATGAACCACCTGTGCCTGGCCTAGATCTTTCTTAATTCAAGAAATAGAGGTGGCCAGGTGTGGGGACACATATCTGTAATTCCCACCTATGTAGGAGGTGGAGATGGGAAGATTGCAGTTTGAAGCTGGCCTTCACAAAGTTTAATGAGACCCTCTCTCAAAGAATAAGCCAGGTGTAGTGGTACATGTCTGTAATCCCAGGTGGAGGGTCATTCCAAAAGTGAAAGACTAACTGAAAAATAAATAGCAGAAAGGGTTGGAGGCATAGTTCAAGTAATAGAAGACCCTGAGTTCAATCTCTAATACTAGTACTAACAAAAAAAAGAGAGAGAAATAGAGGCAACTTTTTTAGAGCATGCTTACCAAGGGCACATATATTCCCGAAACTTGTTCCAGTGCATTTACTTCAGAGTGTTTGTTTGGCTTTTGGGTTTTTTTTTCTCTTTTTTGGAGGTTATCCAGGTGTTTATTTATTTATTTATTTATTTGCGGTACTAGGGCTCGAACTCAGGGCCTCTCTCTTGCTAGGCAGGCACTCTATCATTTGAGATTTTAGATTGGATAATAACTTAATTGGTATCCCACCGATTACTGTACATTTGCTGAACCACTGTAGTTTTAGTCTAAGTGGACACTTGCCTTTGCATTTAGAATGAGCTTATAGCATAATTACTTCTGTAAAGGAGTAATACTAAGACATTTTGAAAGAAAATGCAGTGGAATGTTTAGATGCATGTATCAATGAAATACTACAGGATAACAAAGATAAAAATGGAACAACTCAAATTGCCAATAACTATTTGATTAATTTACTGTTCCTGAAAATAAGAGGAAACAACAAAAATGAGAAAATGATACTTTTTAGGACCTCAGAGAATGTGCTGTCTCAGCAGGAAAATAAACTCCACTAGGTCCTGTTTTTGCAGAGGTACAAGACGGTAGTCAGTGCTAAGATGTGTAACCACTGTCACTAGTGGGCTTAAATAAACTGGAAGTTGCAGAAGCATACCAGCTTTTCTCACTTACTGTTGTATTCACGTTGAGCACTCTGAGTAACGCTGTGTGCTAGCCTCAGGAGATGATGAGCAAGAAATAACAGTACTATGATTTGAAGGAGCTCCTCCATGATGGAGAAGACAAATTTTAAACAATAATAACACAGTTATAGAATTCCCATTGTCACAAGAGCTACAAAATGCTTCTAACAGTGTTTTAGCCTCTGTGAGTTGGTTTCTTTTTTTTTTTTTTTTAAAGTTTTATTTATGAATGAGACTAAATTTTTCACAATGCATGTAAAAAGAACCAATAGAGGAGGAAATCTGTTAGGTTCCAAATGAAGCAAATACAGATAACTTTTAATTATTACTCTTTAACTGTGTTTCAGCTGCCTTGGGCAAAGATGGCTGGGGTTGATCATGATCCCAGATTGCCTTGTAGTGCTGATGAACTGGCTCCAGTAGTAGAGTGTCTACCTAGCAATCGTGAGGTTCTGAGTTCAAGCCCCAGTACAGCCAAAAAAAACAAAAACAAAAACCAAAAAGAACCCAGGTTGCCTTTTCTAAAAGCCTGCAGCATCCTTTTATGTTTCTACTGACCTTTATATAAGAACAGTAAAATGTGTTGGACAACCATAATGTTTATTCTGATATTACAGTAAAAATAAACCAGAAGTTATTTTTTTCTTTTTTTTTTTACTTTTAGAGATAAGCCAGGGTCTGTAATACTAGAGTAAGAAGTTACATATAAATCATAGGGTAGAACATAGAAAGAGAGAAAACACAGCTTGACTTCTAGCCAAACAAAGATCCTCCTGTATTATCACTGGGTGTGAGTTGGTTTCTTTAAGGGAATGAAGCTCGAACTGAGAGTTAAGGGAAGATTAGGAGCTAATTAGGCAAAGGGATAAAGGGAAGAATTTTCCTTCTCTGTAGATGGCTCATGCTGTGAGCATTTGGGAGGGATGTAATTGGCAGAAATAGAGAGGGAGGGCTGGTGGAGTGGCTCATGCAGTAAGAGTGACTACTTAGCAAGCATGAGGCCCTGAGTTCAAACCCCAGTGCCACCAAGAAAAAAAAAAAAGAAATCAAGACTATGTGGCCAGGTGTGGTAAGGTGTTCTGTATTCTGAGAGCCACAGAACCACCAGGTGGTTTTTTGTTTGAGGGCTAAATCCCAATGATAGTTGTGTTTTGATAGGGATTTGGCAGAGAAGGAGAATGGGTGGAGAGAATATGGGTACACTAGCTAGGAGGTTGCTGTAGTAGTGAGCCAAAGAACTGATGGTCGCTTGTTTTGGTATGTGGCAGTGAACATAGAAGAAAGCTTTGAGACATGTTTAGGGGTTAAAATAGCAGGATTTAGGAACAGGTAGACTGAGGTGAAAAACAGCCATGCCTTCTCATCTGATTTAATTGGGTTAGGTTGCTCCACAGAGATCCTTTTATTTTATTATCCAAAATGGCCATCTTCCTGCCACTACCCTGTAAAGGGGGTGGGACATTGATAACCAAAAAGTTACCAGAGGTATTGCAAGATGATAGAGTTTATATTTCAATTTAGTATTGTGTTCTAATGATAGTTTTGTGTGTGATAATGATCCTCAGTTATTGATTGTAATATCTCATTGAACATTGTAGTGCTGTCATAGAACACACCAATCGGGTCATCTTTCTAGAAGATGATGATGTCGCAGCTGTGGTGGATGGCCGTCTTTCTATCCATCGAATTAAACGAACGGCAGGAGATCATCCTGGAAGAGCTGTGCAAACCCTCCAGATGGAACTCCAGCAGATCATGAAAGGTGATCTGATGACCATTTTTGTCATGTTATGGATTGGTGTCCTTACAGAAAGGAGACATTCTCCCTCCTGACCTACATATGAATCCAATAATAATGTTGATTGGAGTCTTCTATATGATAGTAAAGGGACAACCCCAGGAAAAGGAATGGTTCTGTGGAGAAATTATCTTCAATTAGTTCAGTTAGTTCTTCAAATTAATTCATGGTCTGTTTTCAACATCACAAAAACGATTGATTGTTTTAATAGTACCTGATGTTTTTAAGATACTTGATAAGTACAAACATAGTTTGTGGTTTATGCTCTGTTCCTTATTCTTGTATTCTCTCTGTGCTTCAGTTTTCTCATATAAAAAATGGGGATAATAGAACTTACCTCATTAAAGTTGTTTTGAGGATTAAGAAGACTGATGTGTGGGCACACACGTATGTATGTATATGCAGCCCTTATAACGGTGCCTGACAAACTTAGTGTACTCTATATAATGTTTGCTATAATTTTCATTCTTCTTCCTAATTGGGTTATGATAGGAATAAAAGCTAATATTCATTATATAACTACCACATGTAAAGTTCTGTGCTATATTATTCCACACTACAGTCCACATACACTATGAAGGAACTACTATTCTTATTTTACAGAGAAGGAATTTCCTCAGTTGAGATAGTAAAGGATAGCACTGTGATTTGAACCTACATCTGACTCAGAAATTGTTTGACTTATTCCCTTATTTTGCTATAACTATATTTTAACTGTGAACTAAATAAAAGTGACTATTCTTCCTTACTTGCTCATTTTTCTTCATGTAGAATAAACATCAAGTCCTTTAGATAATCAAATAGAAGTTTTGTTCTCTATCATCTTTTGTTTCACTTCCTTCATCAAGATTATGTTGAAGGATTTTTGCATAAATTTCTTATTCTTTGGCTTTTAACTTTTGTTTTAATGGTATAATTTTTATTCCTGTAGGCAACTTTAGTTCATTTATGCAGAAGGAAATTTTTGAGCAGCCAGAATCTGTTGTGAACACAATGAGAGGAAGAGTCAACTTTGATGACTACACTGGTAATGACAAATGATTTATTTGTTTATTTCAAGGTCTTTTGGTGGGGAGTGCCATTGGTAACCTGCAAGTTCATTGTCTTTTAGAGCTTTGTAGAATAACTACTGAACAACTACTGGCTGCCAGCCATCAGTGGAGCCTAGTCCTTTAGTGTATGACTCCACTTTAGTGTACATTTCCACTTATATGGGGCACCTATGATAGTCATGTTCTAGATAGACAGGAAATAGGTTAATGCTTACTACGTGTTGGGGTGAGGGGAAATGGGGAGTTATCACTTAGTGAGTTGAGTACAGTTTCAACTTGGGATGATAGAAAAGTTTTGAAGATAGGTAGTGGTATTGGATGCCCAACAATGTGAGTGTGCTGTATGCCCCTGAATCATAAGCTTAGAAATAGTTAAAATGGTAAATTTTATGTATCAGGCACCTGCTTTGGCTGTCAAGGGACAGTTCTGGGATATGGTAAGGCATTTTGATGTTTTTAGGAACAGCAAGTCTAAGAAGCATGGGACCTGGTCCACTTGCTGGGAATCATATATCTGCCCAGGCTAGGTTTTCTCTCATAAATAAGCAAGGTGTAAACTTTCCCAGCAGTCTTTCAGGTGATTCTGATGCTGTGTGAGACACATACACCTTTCTCCATGTTTAAGGTGGAACTCAGAGTGCAACTCTAGTCTTGTTTGTGGAAATTCTCTAAACCTTGTATCAAAGGAGTTTATAGACATCTTATGCCTACAGACAATCAATCTCAACCTTACTTCATAGGCAGGAATGGGCCATAGGAAAGTAATATCTTATATAGTCTTACCCTTAAAGGTCTAATCTAAAGGAGCAACTAACTATTTAAAGAAAGGTTAAATATGATATATGGCATTAGAAATACTTTTAAAGTTAGAATGCTTAAGGTTTAATGTTGAATTTAGAAAAAATAGAGAATGGGTCTGTTTGTGTAAGTGGCTTCAGAAAGAGGAGAGGCCTCTGAAAGATTTGGAAGATTTTAGTAGATGAAGATGGTAACATTCATTTGAGTAGAAGAGCACTAGCTAAAGAGAGTTAATGGAAAACAAAAAAGAATCTATTTCTGGAATAATTTGCAGTCTAACCTGTCTGTCAGATCTAGCACTTGAGGTATAAAAACAAGCTCAGTCTAGGAAAGAAGGTAAGAGGAACTGCTGTAGAGACCTTGAATGCATCCTAAGTGGGGGTTTGGAGTGGGCATCTCCTTTTATAGAAATTGCAGAGCTCTCAAAGGCTAGGAGCACATGGTGATCCCAACTGTGCTTTACTGAGGTGACTGGGTGCCATTCTCCAGTGCACCCTGGAGGAGGAAAAGAGTGGGCTGCAATTCTGCAATTTCCACTTAGGAGACAGGAGACTGTCTTCTCTGGTGTACAGAAAAAGGAGAAGGAGGTGTGGGGGACCAGGAGAGAAACAGGAGCCGTATAAACCAAGACCCATGTCTGGGGGGAGGGTTGGTGAAGGTGATTGATCTGGGGAGAGTAACAGTAAACATCACAGTATTTGTTTTGTAGGGAAAGAGAGTGAGACAAACATTGAGAAGTTCATAGTATGTCCTCATCCTCATCCCTGTTGTGTCCACACCCCCATGTGAGGGATCAAGCTAGGACCTTGTATGTGCTAAACATGTCCTCTACCACTAAGCTATGCCCCTATCCTTGAGAAGCTCATGGTTTAAAAAGCTCTTTTATCTCTACATGCATAAAAGATCTGTAATATTAAATAGGACAGTTGTTACCATCCTTTTTAAGATGAGAAAGTCATCCCATTTTCTTATTTTTTAAGAAGACATTTCTATTTATAGAGTTAATATATAAATAATGTATGTATTGATTTCTATTATTTGATAAATATTCTGTTGATACCAGAATATCTGTTGATAGCAAAATATCTGATATTTTGTTACAAAACGAATAGTTAATAAAATTGGAGGGTGTATGGCTGTCAACTATTGCAGATACTGTGTTCACTAAATAAAAATGAAATATATTGTTAAAATAAAACAGAAGAGGAGATCAGGCTCTGTCAGTTCAAATGTCTTGCTAAAGGTAATGTTACTAGTCATTCTTGAAGCTGTACTAGCCTCCTTGTGTTCACTGTTGTCATGGAGTTCTCTCTATCCCATTCCACTGTCCACCAGGCATTCTTGGTTATTGCCAGGAGTTGTGACCTATGTTATCACAATTAGGTTTCTCTCATCTTCAAACCAGGTGCAGTGGGGCATGTCTATAATCTCAGCACTTAGGAGATGGAGGCAAGAGGCTTGAGAGTTCAAGGCCAGCTGGGCTACATAGTCAGACCCATTTCAAAAAACAACAACAACAAAAACCAGTTGAGATCTAGGACAATTCCTTGTAGAACTATTTTTTTTCTTTGTATAATAAAGCTTAGTCAGAAAAAAAAAATTGGGAAAGGAATCTAGTGTAACAGGATAAAAATGGGGAGAATCGGGAGCAAAAGGGAGAAACATTTCCTGCTTCTGTGTGGAAAATAGGAGTAGAGACTCCCTAAACCCTGTCTCCACCAGGGAAAAAAAAGTGAAACTTTATCCTTGGAGTTATAACTGTGGTAGAAAAAAGGGTGTGGAGATGGAGAGCAAAGGTAGAGTAGGGATGAGAGAGAGTAGAGGTAGAGAGCCCAAAAGGACAACGCCTGTGAAGACATACATGTCTCCTCAGCCAGGCCCTGAACTCTGATATCAGCTCAGGGTTTGACCAGGATAATACTGGGTGGGTGCTCAAGAATACTAGATGACTAATTGAATGAATGTTGAATGAGAATTTCTTTCAGATAGAACATTAATCTGTGTAGAAGGATCCATAGATAAGACACACAGAAGAACACATAAATGGCTAGAGTCAGGAAAACTCCCCTGGAAGTTTTCAAGATCAGATTTATGTTTCTGAAGGATCACTATAAAAGATCTTTCTGGCTGTGTGTGGAGGGCAGACTTGAAGGTTGAGAATGGAAGAGAGAAGAGTCAGGAGACTCTCTTCCTGAGAGAGATGGTGGTTCAGGGAGATTTCAGTAGAGGGACATGTCGGAGGTGGACGTGGAGGAGGACACTGCGTATGACATCGACCTTTGAACTGGGGCAGGAAGGTAGATGGTGATGGCACTTAACAAAAATGGCAACGGTAGAGCAGTAGGTTTATGTTGTGTGCTGAGCACTGTTCTAGACATGTGTGAGTGTGGAAATAAGCACAAGGAAGATGATTTTTTCCAGACAGATTTAATGAAATGTAATTAGATACAGTACTCATCGTTCCTTTATTGGGGAGGGGGAGGACAGTACTGGAATTTGAACTCAAGAACTTAAGTTTACTAAGTAGGCATTCTACCACTTGACCTACAACCCCCAGCTCTTTTACCTCAGTTACTTTTCTAATAGAGTCTTAAACTTTTGCGCAGACCAGCTTGGACTGCAGTCCTTCTATTTACACCTCCCATGTAGCTAGGATGACAGGTATGTTCCATTAGGCCCAGCTTATGTGTTGAGATGGGGATCTCGCTAACTTTTTACCTGGGTTGGCCTGGAACCATGATCCTCCCGATTTCTGTTTCCAAGTAGCTGGGATTACATGTGTGAGGTGCTGTGCCTGGCCACTATTCATCACTACGCATGTAAAATTCTTTTTATTTATTTATTTTTGAGGCAGAATTGCCCAGGCTGGCCTCAAGCTACTACACTCTTCCTGCCTTAGCCTCCTGTTTAAATTCTGAGTTTCAAAAAACCTCTGAAACATAGTCATAATCCTGACTGCTACAGAGTCCAAATGTAGAACCATCACTCCAGAAATTTTCTCGTGCCCCTTTGTTGTCAGCCTCTCCCCACCTCCAGCCTTCAGCATCTACTGGTCTGTTTCCTATGTCCCTATAGTTTCATTTTTAAGATAATTTTTTAATCTAAAGAAAGGAATATAAAAATGACTAAAAGTAGAATGAAAGAAATACTGTATATGCTTGTAGTAGGTGGGGTAAGATTAATACAAGTTTTGGGAGGGGGGCAATTAAGTTGTGACCTATTAATTGTAGTTACTTTCCTTTAGTATAGAGAACTATACTTCCTATAAAAGGATGTGAAGTTTTAAAGTGGACATTTGTAAAAAAGTGATTGCCTGTTTCATATAGTTCTTTCCTACATACTAACATACACATACTTTTATTTCAGTGAATTTGGGTGGTTTGAAGGATCACATTAAGGAGATCCAGAGGTGTCGCCGTTTGATTCTTATTGCTTGTGGAACAAGTTACCATGCTGGTATGGCAGTAAGTGACCTCTTTATATTTTAGTTATGTAAGATATCAGAGGATATCTGCAGAGCAGTAGTACTTCTAGCCACACACCACGTAAAACTGTCTTTTTAAAATATATTATCTTTTCATTTTGCAATGATAGACATCAGGAAGGTAGAGGACTTTTCATAGCTGTTTGAATTATTTATCAATGGAAGGTCCACTGTAGAAGATGTTTACATGTGCAAATAGACCACCTGTAATTGACTTCATGAAAGATGGAGAGGGGAAGAGTTTTTGCACTGTCCTAGACTAGTAGCCCAGGAGCGTGCCTCCTTCCATAAGAGTAGTCATTCGGGTGTTTTGTTTGTTGAAACAGGGTCTCACAATGTAGCCTAGGTTGGCATCAAACTCAATTCTCCTGCCTCAGCCTCCCAAGTTGGGCATTGGATTTTGCTTAACATTGCTCAGTTACACCAGGCAGATGGCCAGGTTCACAACATGTGTGAATCTCAACAAGAGTTTACTTCATTGGCGTATTCACTTTGTGCCTTAAACTGGTATTGGTTTTCAGTGTAGAAACTATGGAACTCCGTGGCCTCTTACTCCAGTAAACCAGACCCACATGTGGTTTCTTTATACAGACAGATTATGTGCTGCTGATGTACAAAGGACGCTTACTTTCTGGATTGAGTCCCAAAGTTCATGACATAGTTGCTTTTTATTTGCTGTTATACACATATTTATATCTTACACTTGTGGGAGCCACTCATTTAACTAATATGTAAAGCTATCTGATCACCACCCTTTGCATCTCAACAAACTTTAATTTTCTCTAAGCCCTCCTTCCCAAATATTACATGGTCCTAGAAGGAAAGACCATGCAGTATTGAAGGGAAGAGGTCTAAGAAGGTAATTGTTTTAAGCATGAAAATAAGAATAAGTTAAAAGATTCTGGTGAATGGATGGGCTATTTCACTGGTGTATTAATTCTGTTACTAAATGAGCTCTCTATTCAGAAACGAAAAAAATTGATTGAACATGTCATCCAATGCTATCCTTAAATTTGGGGTTCCAAATTCTATGCTATGTTAGAATTCTCCAGTTCTTGTGAGATGATACAGGGTTTTTTTTTTTTTTTTTGGTTTGGTTTGGTTTGGTGGATGCCAAGATTATTATAGTGAACAGATATTACAGATGTTCCTGTGGTTTATTGTACAAATTAGTGCTATTTATTCCATTAATTCTCCTCTACCTTTTTGGTTTTTTGTTGCAGTCAAATGTGAATGACATGTTAGTGTGACTTCTTTCAGTTTACTGTCTGCATCCTGACTACACTCAAATCATTCTCAGAGTAGCATGTTTTTCTTCTGGGTTTTACAGTGGCATGCAGGAGAATTTATAGCATCAAGTTACTGTCTTGTGATGAAAATATGTTATTCTGTGCATTTTAAATAAACTCCTCATTAGTACATATAGAGTTGAGATTACTTTTTCAGTGTAGGTTATTTTTAAATATCTGGTTGTCAGATTTGTATCTCTTTTTGTTTGTTTTGATCTTGTTTTGAAGAATGTAACTCCAGTTGTAAACTGGGAGAAAAGGTTTGGTTTTCATTTGTTTGAGGTAAACATTTAGCATTTTAGTGTTAGTAACTTATTTATGTACAATTATTAAAATATGTTAATGGAAAGGGGAATCAAAATAGGACCATTTTAATTTTCAAAGACTTTCTGTTCAAACAGGAGTTATTGGGAAACCAAATACAACAACCCACTTGTTTTTATTTATGGGCAAACAAAAGTTCAAAGGCTGTGAAGCAAGGGCACCTTTACAGTTTGTTCTGCTGTGAAGGAGATATGTGGAAATGAGGCAAGAGGTCCGCAGGGCTGGCCTGAGAAGCTGGTGATGGGCTCTCAGAATGGCGATCTCAGTTTTAGTATTAAAGCAGGCTGCATGTCTACACATCTGTAGGACTTATTTGGTGCCTGAAAGTTTCTTTTCTACTGTTTTACCTTTCCTGATATTTAGGGTAAGAGGAATTTAATTAGAACCGAAGTTTAGTAAAAGGAATGGTAAGATGCCCTTTGAACAGACGTATACTACCTGTACCTCTACCTCATTCCGCACACCTTGCTCCAGTGCCCTGAAGTCTGAAAATAGTAAACTTCTTAAGCAGGATTTGTGAAATGTATTGACTTTTTTTGGGGGGAAATGGTGCTATTTACAATTAAGTGGCATTTGCAAAGTGTTTAATTTTTACCCAGTGTTTGTATTATCTGATTGTCATTTGAAATCCCTTAGTGACTTGGGTATTACATGAATTTTTAAACATTAAGAATTGGGAAGTTAGAGATAACACACAGGCTGTCTCAGCAGTGCTTTTTCTACTTCTGAAAATGTTTTATATGTGTGGGTGTGTTTCCTTGCTTGTAAGAATGTCTGCATTGATAATTGTATTAAGAGACTTGTACTAAAGTGTTCACAGTACTTATCTCTTGGATAGTGGGATTTTGCTTCTTTTTATTTTTCATACTTAAATCTATATTTATATTTTGAAAATTATGGGGTTTTTTTGGATAGAACTCTGGCCCTTGCAAATTTTATGTAAGGCCATACCACTGAGCTACATCCCCAGCCCATGTCTCTTTTTTATAATTAGAAAAAGTGAAACCTCTGTACTGAATTCAAAGAAGTCAGTGGCATGGTATCTGAAGGCAGGTTGTGTGACCTTGTCACCTTTTCTGTCTGTGCAGACGCGGCAGGTACTTGAGGAGCTGACAGAGTTGCCGGTGATGGTGGAACTAGCCAGTGACTTCCTGGATAGAAACACACCAGTCTTTCGAGATGATGTTTGCTTTTTCATTAGTCAGTCAGGTATGTCCATTTTAGAGACTTGAACCAAGGAAAGTAATTTTTTCTAGTAATTTTGGTATATCTTGTGAAGAATTGGTATTTAAAAATAAACTGGTATTGCAGATGACTTGACATATGCCGATTTACTTTAATATTGCATTCTTTGTGAATTAGTAAAAATCAACACCCTTTAAGCTCAAGAGCCAAATTTTCAACTAGGGAAAGAAAAGCCTAGAAAGCCTATTATTAGAAGTTTAGTAAGTTTATAGCTGCATGTTTTATGTTTTATTTAAAACAAGTGATATAAAAAGTATGGCCGATTTGTTTTTGCATGTAAGAAACAGCATATGCTGAAGCTGCTGTGTGTTACTTTGTTGTACTCTTTGCACAGGTGAGACAGCAGATACCCTGATGGGGCTCCGTTATTGTAAGGAGAGAGGTGCTTTGACTGTGGGGATCACAAATACAGTCGGCAGCTCTATATCAAGGGAGACAGATTGTGGAGTTCACATTAATGCTGGTCCTGAGATTGGTGTGGCCAGTACAAAGGTAAACTCTTAACTTCTCCTTCAGATGATTATTTAGCTAGTGTTGGTGAAACACACTAGGCTATACACCAGGCTATATCTTATTTTCATAATTATTGTAAGACTAGAGGGTCAGTAATAGGTCTTTAACCTTTTTTTTCTTTTTTTTTATTGTTTTATTATTCATATGTGCATATAAGGCTTGGGTCATTTCTCCCCCCTGCCCCAACCCCCTCCCTTACCACCCACTCCCCCCCTCCCTCTCCCCCCACCCCTCAATACCCAGCAGAAACTATTTTGCCCTTATCTCTAATTTTGTTGAAGAGAGAGTAAGCAATAATAGGAAGGAACAAGGGTTTTTGCTGGTTGAGATAAGGATAGCTATACAGGGAGTTGACTCACATTAATTTCCTGTTGGTGTTACCTTCTAGGTTAATTCTTTTGATCTAACCTTTTCTCTAGTTCCTGGTCCCCTTTTCCTATTGGCCTCAGTTGCTTTTAAGGTATCTACTTTAGTTTCTCTGCGTTAAGGGCAACAAATGCTAGCTAATTTTTTAGGTGTCTTACCTATCCTCACCCCTCCCTTGTGTGCTCTCGCTTTTATCATGTGCTCAAAGTCCAATCCCTTGTTGTGTTTGCCCTTGATCTAATGTCCACATATGAGGGAGAACATAATTTTTGGTCTTTTGGGCCAGGCTAACCTCACTCAGAATGATGTTCTCCAATTCCATCCATTTACCAGCGAATGATAACATTTCATTTTTCTTCATGGCTGCATAAAATTCCATTGTGTATAGATACCACATTTTCTTAATCAGTAGTGGGGCGTCTTGGCTGTTTCCATAACTTGGCTATTGTGAATAGTGCCGCCATAAACATGGGTGTGCAGGTGCCACTGGAGTAACCTGTGTCACAGTCTTTTGGGTATATCCCCAAGAGTGGTATTGCTGGATCAAATGGTAGATCAATGTTTATTTTTAAGTAGCCTCCAAATTTTTTCCAGAGTGGTTGTACTAGTTTACATTCCCACCAACAGTGTAAGAGGGTTCCTTTTTCCCCGCATCCTCGCCAACACCTGTTGTTGTGGTGTTGCTAATGATGGCTATTCTAACAGGGGTGAGGTGGAATCTTAGTGTGGTTTTAATTTGCATTTCCTTTATTGCTAGAGATGGTGAGTATTTTTTCATGTGTTCTTTGGCCATTTGAATTTCTTCTTTTGAGAAAGTTCTGTTTCGTTCACTTGCCCATTTCTTTATTGGTTCATTAGTTTTGGGAGAATTTAGTTTTTTAAGTTCCCTATATATTCTGGTTATCAGTCAGTCCTTTGTCTGATGTGTAGCTGGCAAATATTTTCTCCCACTCTGTGGGTGTTCTCTTCAGTTTAGAGACCATTTCTTTTTGATGAACAGAAGCTTTTTAGTTTTATGAGTCCCATTTATCTATGCTATCTCTTAGTTGCTGTGCTGCTGGGGTTCGTTGAGAAAGTTCTTACCTATACCTACTAACTCCAGAGTATTTCCTACTCTTTCCTGTATCAACTTTAGAGTTTGGGTCTGATATTAAGATCCTTGATCCATTTTGAGTTAATATTGGTATAGGGTGATATACATGGATCTAGTTTCAGTTTTTTGCAGACTGCTAACCAGTTTTCCCAGCAGTTTTTGTTGAAGAGGCTGCTTTCTCCATCGTATATTTTTAGCTCCTTTGTCAAAGACAAGTTGGTTATAGTTGTGTGGCTTCATATCTGGGTCCTCTATTCTGTTCCACTGGTCTTCATGTCTGTTTTTGTGCCAGTACCATGCTGTTTTTATTGTTATTGCTTTGTAATATAGTTTGAAGTCAGGTATTGTGATACCTCCAGCATTGTTCTTTTGACTGAGTATTGCCTTGGCTATTCGTGGCCTCTTGTGTTTCCATATAAATTTAACAGTAGATTTTTCAATCTCTTTAATGAATGTCATTGGAATTTTGATGGGAATTGCATTAAACATGTAGATTACTTTGGGAGTATAGACATTTTTACTATGTTGATTCTACCAATCCATGAGCATGGGAGATCTCTCCACTTTCTATAGTCTTCCTCAATCTCTTTCTTCAGAAGTATAGTTTTCCTTGTAGAGGTCTTTCACATCTTTTGTTAGGTTTACACCCTAGGTATTTGATTTTTTTTGAGGCTATTGTAAATGGAATTGTTTTCATACATTCTTTTTTCAGTTTGCTCATTGTTAGTGTATAGAAATGCTAATGATTTTTCTATGTTGATTTTATATCCTGCTACCTTGCTATAGCTATTGATGATGTCTAGAAGCTTCTGAGTAGAGTTTTTTGGGTCTTTAAGGTATAGGATCATGTCGTCTGCAAATAGGGATATTTTGACAGTTTCTTTACCTATTTGTATTCCTTTTATTCCTTCTTCTTGCCTAATTGCTCTGGCTAGGAATTCCAGTACTATGTTGAATAGGAGTGGAGATAGTGGGCATCCTTGTCTGGTTCCTGATTTTAGAGGGAATGGTTTCAGTTTTTCTCCGTTAAGTATAATGCTGGCTGTAGGTTTGTCATATATAGCTTTTATAATGTTGAGGTACTTTCCTTCTATTCCTAGTTTTCTTAGAGCTTTTATCATGAAATGGTGTTGGATCTTATCAAAGGCTTTTTCTGCATCTATTGAGATGATCAAGTGGTTTTTGTCTTTGCTTCTGTTAATGTGGTTTATTACGTTTATTGATTTTCGTATGTTGAACCACCCCTGCATCCCTGGGATGAAGCCTACTTGGTCGTGGTGAATAATCTTTTTGATGTGTTGTTGAATTCGGTTTGCCATTATTTTGTTGAGGATTTTTGCATCAATGTTCATTAAGGAGATTGGCCTATAGTTCTCCTTTTTGGAGGTGTCTTTGCCTGGTTTTGGGATAAGTGTAATACTGGCTTCATAAAATGTGTTGGCAGTTTTCCTTCCCTTTCTATTTCATGGAACAGTTTAAGGAGGGTTGGTATCAGTTCTTCTTTAAAGGTCTGATAGAATTCAGCAGAGAATCCATCAGGTCCTGGACTTTTCTTTTTGGGGAGACTCTTGATTGCTGCTTCAATTTCATTTTGTGTTATAGATCTATTCAGGTGATTAATTTCCTCTTGGTTCAGTTTTGGATGATCATATGTATCTAGAAATCTGTCCATTTCTTTAAGATTTTCAAATTTATTTGAATATAGGTTCTCAAAGTAGTCTCTGATGATTTCCTGGACTTCCATGGTGTTTGTTGTTATCTCCCCTTTTGCATTCCTGATTCTACTAATTTGGGTTTTTTCTCTCCTCATTTTAGTCAGGTTTGCCAGGGTCTATGATCTTGTTTATTTTTTCAAAGAACCAACTTTTTGTTTCATTAATTCTTTGTATGGTTTTTTTTTGGTTTCTATTTCGTTGATTTCAGCTCTTATTTTTATTATTTCTCTCCTTTATTTGTTTTGGGTTTTGCTTGTTCTTGTTTTCTAGGAGTTTGAGATGTATCATTAGGTCATTGATTTGGGATCTTTCAGTCTTTTTAATATATGCACTCATGGCTATAAACTTTCCTCTCAGGACTGCGTTAGCTGTGTCCCATAGGTTCCAGTAGGTGTGTTTTCATTTTCATTGACTTCCAGGAACTTTTTAATTTCCTCTTTTATTTCATCGATGATCCATTCTTCATTAAGTAATGAGTTATTAGTTTCCAGCTGTTTGCATGTTTTTTGTCTTTACTTTTGTTGTTGAGTTCTACTTTTACTGCATTGTGATCAGATAGTATGCACAGTATAATTTCTATTTTCTTATATTTGCTGAGGCTTGCTTTGTGCCCTAGGATATGATCTTTTTGGAGAAGGTTCCATATGCTGCTGAGAAGAATGTATATTGTGTAGAAGTTGGATGAAATGTTCTCTAGACATCAACTAGGTCCATTTGATCTATTGTATATATTAGATCTTGGATTTCTTTATTGATTTTTTGTTTGGATGACCTATCTATTAATGATAATGGGTGTTAAAGTCTCCCACAACCACTGTGTTGGAGTTAATATATGCTTTTAGGTCTTTCAGGGTATGTTTGATGAAATTGCGTTGACATTGGGTGCATACAGGTTGATGATTATTATTTCCTTTTGGTCTATTTCCCCTTTTATTAGTATGGAATGTCCTTCTTTATCTGTTTGATCAATGTAGGTTTGAAGTCTACTTTGTCAGAGATAAGTATTGCTACTCCTGCCTGTTTTCGGGGCCATTGGCTTGGTAAATCTTCTTCCAGCCTTTCATCCTAAGCCTATGCTTATTTCTGTCGGTGAGATGGGTCTCCTGTAAGCAACAAATTGTTGGATCTTCCTTTTAATCCATTTGTCAAGCGGTGCCTTTTGATGGGTGAATTAAGTGTTAACATTAAGTGTTAGTACTGATAGGTATGTGGTGATTCCTGTCATTTAGTTGTCTTAGTTGTTTGAAGGTTTGATTGTGTGTACCTAAGTTGGTTACTCTCTACTTTCTTGCTTTTTCTTTTCCTGTGGTTTGTGTGCTGCCTGTCTTTTCATGGTTAAGTTGGGTTTCACTTTCTGTGTGCAGAATCCCTTGCAGAATCTTTTGTAGTGGTGGCTTTGTGGTCACATATTGTTTTAGTTTCTGCTTATCATGGAAGACTTTTATTGCTCCATCTATTTTGAATGATAGTTTTGCTGGGTAAGTATCCTGGGGTTGAAGTTATTTTCATTCAGTGCCGAAGATCTCACCCCACGCTCTTCTTGCTTTTAATGTTTCTGTTGAGAAGTCTGCTGTGATTTTGATGGGTTTACCTTTGTATGTTATTTGTTTTTCTCTCTTACAGCCTTCAATATTCTTTCCCTAGTTTCTGAACTTGTTGTTTTAATGATGATATGTCGTGGGGGTAGTTCTATTTTGATCTGGTCTGTTTGGTGTCCTGGAGGCCTCTTGCATCTGTATGGGAAATCTTTCTCTAGATTTGGGAAATTTTCCTGTTATTATTTTGTTGAATATATTACGCATTCC